CATTCGGGAGGTGTCATTTAACAAAGGGAGCGAGACAGAGAGAGAGCGAGGGAGGGAGGGAGGGGGAGAGAGAGAAAGAGAGCCTGATGTTGTTTTCCAAAAACTTCCTTGGCCATCAAAGGAAAGCTGACATGAATCCTCCAAACTGGAGTCTCGTGCTTCATGAGAACATACGTTCATCTTGCTGTCGACATCACATACTCTGAGGCTTTAGCCGAAAGATGAACTAGGTCCCCTATCTCCTCGCCAAATTGCAGCAATTCCATTGGCACCGTAAGGCTCTGGGACAGGCTCCGCCTTCTCTGCCCAGTCCAAATGCCAGCGGCCCCTCGTTTGCAGACGAGTTTGCCTGCAGGATGCGCTCAGACCGAGAAAAAAACGTCGGCAAATTTTGGCTGCTGGGTTCTGGAGAACCTGTATATTGCAAATCTGAAGAGAAATAAGCATAGACCCGACTGCCATCATGAATCATCATCCGCATCCATAGCCCAACTCTCGCGAGGCTCTACATCGCATCGGCCTTTGCTAGATCTCAAGGAGGCGGCCGCCACCCCGAAGAATGACAGGCGGGGCTGCTTGAGCCCTTGGGCCTGGCAGAAGAGGGCGGTGTTTTTTCCCATCCCCGAGGCCCGACGCAGACGAGCGCTCACCGGGACAGCTGCCACGACCAGATTCACAAAGCAGGCATTGGCTGTGGCCGCTATGCGTAGGGCAGGTTAGTCGAAGGCGTGTGTCTGTCATGGCGCGCAGGATTCAAGCCTGCAGTCCGGAAGACGACAGTAATGCTCTCGTGTTGCAAGACCGCAAACTTGGAGATTTCGTTGGATGGGCTTGGCCGCTAGTTGAGGTGCAGCGTTTATCTGAATTCGAATTGCGGCATGTGGAGGAAGTAATCTCAGGTGCACAGAGGCGCGAAATAGAGGAAAGCCAAAGCAACACGCAATCCAAAGCCGTGACCCAGACTGTATCTTCTCTCCCAAAAGTCCCAAAAGAGCCTCGCCGAAAGGTCCAGGCATGCAACGCCTACGCCACCATCCCGGCAGAACCCGCCGAAGCCGGCGGCACTGCCAGGGGTACGGCCGCCTTCTTCCCAAGGCTAACCCAGCAGAGCTCAGCAGAGGGTTCCGAGTATTCTGAGAATCGGCTTGTTCTTTGCATAAATTCGCGGATTGAGTACAGTCACCAGAAGCTGTCCCAGTCGTGGTGGGTGGTTGTGAGCCCCAGCGTCCACGCCCCATATCTCAGTGGCCCACAGGCTCGCGCGGCGGAATGTGCGGTTCTCAGAAACATGTACGCACGGGATCAAAACTGCGGCCCGCCCTTTCAGGGGCGTCGGCTATTGCATGCTCTCGGGTGTTGATTGGTATTTCGGAGCTGGGGGGCGTGAATGTTGTCTTTGAGGTTGAGGTTCTCAGAAAATAGAATCCGAAGGGCTGCCGGATGTGGATAGCCTTTGGACTTTTAACATTTCTCGCCAGAATGCCCTGCTCCGTCGCTGTTCTCCATGCCACCCAAGGCAGGGACAGGGACAGCTACTGCTGAGCAAGTCCGGCCAGCTTCGGCGGACCGCCACTGCCTGCTCCCAAGCAACAGTGCAGCAAGGGTCGAGGGACAATTGTGGAAATGGGATTGGTGCCTCAAGTTCGCAGGTAGTGGTGGGAATGCAAGGCCCCAAAGCTTACTTCAGCCTCGTGCCTTCGCAGGGCGGAGGACTCATCGGGCCCGAGTCTCCCAATGCCCTGCATGCCCGGGCCCCAGATGTGCAAAGCGCTTTGGCTCAAGTCGCTGAAGAGGGAGAGTCTTCCCGGGAGTTCTTGAAGATTCTCTTCATGGCTGCCCAATGCAGCTTTGTGGGAGGGAGTGATTTATTGTGACTTCCTGCGATTATGGGCTTCCGCACCTTCCCCTCAGTCCTGTCGATAATACGTGGGCACACACAGTATACATGCTGCTTCAATCTGCTGCATTTGAGCCTCTTATGTCATCTGAGACATGCGAGAACGACGAAGGGATAGGGAGAAATTGTGGCCGAACACGAGGACACATGGCAACGGGCAAAGGCTGGAGACCGCGCAAGCAATGACAGAAGCAGACAAGGGCACAACAACTTTGACAGTAGATGGAAAGTGTGAGAAAAGAGTTCTGCCCAAATGTAGTTGTTGGCCCATCGTGGCACTGCTAGACCTAGACGAGCACCCGTGGAACAGAATTGCACCTTCCAGGGTATGAGCCTAGCTGAGCCATTAGCCAGTAGCTAGACTGCCCTGAGACCTAATTGCTGCCTTTGGCCATTGCTGGCGTTTGAAAGGTTTCGAGAGTCTGCTTGGATGCCTGATGTGTCTGCGGACTTCTGCACTTGCTTGCAGGTGCCGGGCGCACCAGGAGGGCTCAAGACACACAGCGAAGAATCTCCGCCACCCACGCGGCCAGGTGCGGCGGGTTGTAGAATTCCAGGTTGGAGCTTTGGAAGTAACCACTTCTTGCAATCAGACGACATGTGCGATACACCGCGCCCTCAGGAAGGCTTTCGGCCGCGGGGCCAGGGTGGACCTCGAACCTTCGCTCGTTGAGAGAAGCTTCCTGAGAGGCACTGCTGCATCCCTGGCGTCTGTGCAGCATGCACGGGACCAAGTAGCTCTCCGGGGTCGTGCAGGCTTGCGCCATGATAGTAATAAGGATCGCGGAATCGGGTTTGCAACTGGGAAGTGGATGCACCAGGATCCCAATGCAGATCCTCGTCCAGTTCGGGGGGGTCTCCAGTCGAGCCGCGTGCGAGCCACCAGCTGGGGGGCACTATAGGCGCAGCCCTCGTGCAGCATGCGCGGGATTCAAAGCAGCGCACTGCAGCATTTTCTCTGGGCCAAGAAATGGCATCATTGTCGTGGCTGGGACGCTGAGCCCGACACTGTGTGCACCGTCCATGCTGACGAGAGCCGGAACGTGGTATCCACTTTTCTCGCGACTCTTGCGTGGGAAGCTCCTCGGAAAGGTCCACACTGAGTCAGTTCTTGGGTGGGCGATCTCGTTTTCTAAATTGCCCATGAACCAAGGCAAGCCTTACTGGTATGAACTGTAGCAAGATGTGGAGGCGCATCATTTAAATTTTCGTGCATAAGAGCATCCTCTGCAGCAAGTTAGACTGTTAGACAAGGTTACACATGAAGGGATCTTTCGAAGAAGACTGGGACTCTGCTGTGGGAAGGCGATAAGTCCCTCTGTTCAGGTTGCTGCTAACAACAAGCTGGCATGTGTGGAATTCGTCCGTTGCACTGTGTATGCCGAGGCATACCGCCGAGATCCGCAGCGCTACAGGCCGCTGCCGCCGTGACAGAATACGGAAATACACATGCACGAAGAGGCTGTTGCTACGATGAGGACAACGATTCACCACCGTGTTCTCTACCTTTTCTCGATGATGATGACTGATGATGACTGTCGATACCTTTTTAATGACTATTCACTACTACTCGCAGTCGCATCGGTGGCAGTGACAATAGCAGCAGCAGTTGGAGTCGCGGTAGCGGCAGTAGCAGTGGGAGAAGTACGAGCAGTACGTAGTAACGTAGTAGGAGCGACTACCACCATCACCACGACGACTACTAGTACTGTATACTACTGCTACGACTACCACCATCACTGCTGCCACCACTACCACTGCCACCACCACCACCACCACTGCCACCACCACTACCACTACCACTACCACGACGAGTAGTAGCAGTAGTTGTAGTAGTA